ATCGATTTCATCTCTTTGTATGAATTTGATTGAAGATACTCCAATTACGCTGGTATGCAGAAGCCGAACATGTTAGGCTAAGAACTTTAACTGCAAAAGCTTTCAATTCAGGAACATTATCTCCAAACTGAGTCACCAACATTCTACATGAAGACAAACATAGTATTTTATGAATATTGGTTGAAATAGAAGACTTGAATATAAATATTAATATTAAAATTATAAATACTCAAGCTATAAACATACTAGGAGATCGTATTTTGTAGCATGCTTGTGCTGCTCTAAATCCAAACATTCCCTTCTTCAAATGAAAATCCTCAAATTGATCATTCACTTTGAGATAGTCTTCTTCAGAAATGAGTCTATCCATACATGCATACAAACCAATTTTCACCTCTTTGTCAACATGAAAATCCTTATCATAATGAAATTGGGGATTTATATAAAACGCAGTAGCATGTAAGTGTTGGTGTAATTGTCGATCCCAGTTTTCATCTATAATATCCCATATTTCTTTGTAGGCACTTTCTTGACCTCCCAATTCTTTTACAATGTCTTCTTTAGCCCTATTCATTGCTTCATAAATAAATCCCATAGTCGGGGCCCTGTCACCATCAACCATTCTAAGCACCTTTACTAATGGTCATGTTATCTTCAAAGCATAATTTGTACTGAGCCAAAATGAATTGTCTTTCATAACAATCTTTTTAACTTATTTTCCTTCTTGTTTTTTGGCCCATAAACTTTTATCCCACTCTTTAGAAGCAAACATTGCTTCCAATGGTTATCTTAACTCCTTGAATCTCTGCAACGTTAAATATGCAGTAGCAAATCTTGTAACAGCAGGTCTAATAATTTCCTTGTCAGTGAATTTTCTCACCAAGCTGAGTACTCAAGAATGATTGTATATAAACTTACTAACGAATTTGTCCTTTAATATGGCTGATTTATGTTGAGGCAACTGTCTCAACCTCTCAAGCATCAAGTCAATACAATGTGCAGCACAAGGAGTCCAGTAAATGTGAGGCCTCTTCTCCATTAACATTCTTCCTGCAGCTTTTTATGCACTTGCATTATTAGTAACAACTTGTACTACTAAGGCATCTCCCACTTCCTCCACAACTTCATCCAACATTTCAAACAATAATTGTGCATCCTTTACAAAGCTTGAAGCATCTACTGATTTGAAAAAAAATTATTCCATATGGATTGTTGACCAAAAAATTAATAATACTTCTATGTAGAATATCTGACCAACCATCTGACATTATTGTCACTCCTGTCTCAATCCAAGTCTTCTTAACATCATCCACAATTTTTTAAGTTGTCTTAACCTCCTCATTCAACATCCAAGTCCTCAGCTCATACATGCTTGGAAGTTATAATCCTTTTCCATAGCTTCCAACAGATCGTAACATATTGATCCACGACGGACTCCTAACAACATTAAATGGAATCCCATTTTCATAGACGAATCTGATGATATTCAAACAAACTCTGTTCCTGTGTTCTTTTGTAGTTGTAGGAGGCTGAATATCATGAGTATTTATGTTTTCCTCGTTATCAATATTTAGCATAAATCTATACATGGGCCCCCGACTGCCTCGGTAAGAAGAAACTAGATGACTACCAATACTGGAACCTTCATGCTGTGATCCATAGTAAGAAGAGTTTCCTATCATCTCTTCTATATTTCTTTGAGTGACCTCCTTTGTGGTGGCAAACTTATTTAAATAATTTGTACATTCCTTTTTCACCTCATTAGGGACTTTTGCATATGGTCCCACATTGACATAAGCGCAGGCTAGATGATCCTTCAATCTCTTGACGCCACCAGTTATGCATTTCTCACAGAAATTATATTTCATGTAAACATATCCCTTCTTTGCACCTTCGCCTGACACTTCAACTTGAGTTCCATATTTCCATGCAGGATCTTTCCTTCTTGTGCCACTAGTCATGCTAGCAATAGGACATATTTTAACAATTATTTGTACTATCAATAATAAAACAACATGAATACAAAAATATACTAGTCTGCCGGGGGTTGAAGGGGGCGCTGCCCCCTGGCGGTACCGAGCATGTACCGCTAAGTACCGAGCATGTACTTGCTCGGTACCGAGCGGTACTAGCTCAGTACCGAGCATGTACCTTGCAGTACCGAGCATGTACTGAGCAGTACCGAGCATGTACTGAGCAGTACCGAGCTTGTTCTTGCTTGGTACCGAGCATGTACTGAGCGGACGAATGAAAGAAAGCCGAATCAGGAGTTATTCAAGCTTTCGTTAATGCACGTCAAAGTCAAGGCCACAACACCGCGTACCTGCTCTTCCGACTTAACCGATGCCTGAACGTTTCCTACACTCACAACTTCGACTTTGTTTCTTTCCCTGCGTTGTCTCCTTCCGACTTCGTCTCCTACACTCATGGCTTCGTCTCCTTCCCTCACAGCTTCATCTCTTTCCCTCATGGCTTCGCCTCTAGTTCGCCTTTCAATTCTCACAGGAAGCCCTAATCCTATACTCGAATACACAAACAAAAAGCGGCTGCGTCGTATTTACATATATACCGAAGAAAAAATTTTGAGGCGGAGCCTCATACTGCCTCGAGTCGTTACGCTCTAATGCATACGCCTCGTGCGAAAAAATCGTAGGCTTTGCTAGATGATTTGAGGCGTAAGCCCCGATGCGCATGACTTCCGCCTCGACTTGAGGCGCGACTCAATGCGGACTCCTCGTCCGCTTTTTTAATGGTTGTACAAACTATAGTGCACGTGTGGGGGTACTTTGAAAGTACTTGTAGACGCCTTCTGTCCGCTTGCATAGAAGTTGCGGATCCGGTGGCGTGGCGTAGCAGCTTCTAAATAAAATTGTTCGTTGCTTCGTACAAGCAGACTGTTGTGCACTACTTGTTGTTTTCTGTATGTGGATCATAGTGCACTAACGAATCTCCTTCTTCGATCCGTAGGTGCTTGTATTTATTGTAACTCTTTGGCACTTTGCTTGTGAACATTATATTGGGTACACCATGGGTCTTTTACAGTAGTTTATAGAAGTTTGCATCTGTCACCAACCCCTTCATGCACATTGATTGGTGTTGACTATATGAGGACATTATACCCACTGCATATATGTTGTTATAATCTATAAAAGTTCTTTTCATTGTATATTGCATCATATGTGTCTTCCCTTAACTTACATGGCTTTCATCACCACGTTGTGAACAATCTGTCGAATATACGTGTATGGCTATATTTGTATAGAACCTATCACTTCTACGTCATTTCAATCGATGTTACTTATGAGTGGATTGCCAGTTCTATTTGTATTGACTTCAGGCATGCCATTATCATTCATGAATGATCACAAGTATCCCATAGTTGTTTGTAATTGTTCTTCAATGATCATTTCCTTTGTACTTGTAGGGAATGGGAATGTACGCTTGCCACGATAATAGCACAGGTGATATGAACAACCATTGTAGGCTTCTATGTTCACCATACTCATAATAGAGATGTTGCTAGATCTCTAAAATTTGGTTCATAAGCACTTCATTCCACTATCCATGGATGAATCATTTCATATATTTGAGAATCATGCATCATTTAATGCATTTGAGAATCATGACCCCATTTTACCTTTACATATTGCAAGTGGGGTTCAACATCTCATAGTTCAACTCACAGTTCTTGTTCCTTATCATTCAAGTTCCAAGTTCAAGCTTCTTATGCTTATCGCTGTTCAATCAAATAATACATAGCTTTAATCAGCATTTGCATTCTAATCAATGTGACGACCCATTGATATCTCACTTGTTGCATGAACATGCCATTGTCCTTGCCATAATCTTCTTGCATATTTTTGTGGGTTGGTGATTGATGCTATTGCAAGTCTTTGAGCTTCAATTATAGGACGAATGATTATATTACAAATTTATTATCCTTGCTTGTAACTTGATTGATTGAACATGGCAATTTGTTTTAGTCTCTCCGATGGATGTTTCTTTGAATGCTTTTGAATCACAACCTATGATTTTTTACATCATGAGTCTTCTTTTGCTTGTGAATGAGTTGTAGTTGTGCTTAGTATATCAGCCAATGTTCGCAAAACTTGCGCACTCCAACTTTCTCTTGTTTGTCACATTCATGTTGCTTGTGAGCAAAATAACAATCATGCTTATTAAGGCTTCAACATAGGTCTTTCATCCCTTTGCTGATCTTTGCTTGCATGATCAAATTTATTGATCAACATTTATGTTTTCAGCATGCTCATACATTTATTGAATTAGAGTTTGATTTTCTGCATTATTCATTTGAATTCAGGTTCTTATACATCTTATTCAAATTCAAGTCCAAGTATGGTTCAAATCCACAAGTCCAGTTCGTGTTCAAGTCCCCTGCGTCCTTGCAAGTTTAATTGCAAATCCAAATTGTTCAAGTCATGATTGTTTGAGTTTGAGTTAAGCTTCTTGCATATTTTTATTTGGGTTTAATTGTTTATTAAGTCACTTAGATCTTGTTCAAAAGTCCAAGTACAAGTCCTCCGTTGTTCTTCTGAGTTCAATCGAGTCTAGGTCCCAAATTGTACCAAGTTCTTGTCTTACAAAATTTCGGCAACCTCCCGACGTCTCCCCTTTTAGGGGAAAAACCAAGAGGCCGCCTACTCGCCACGTCAACAAAGACGTGCACGGTTAGTGTTTGTGAGACACCGCGGCGGTGATATTTTTGTTTTTTCATCCACCACGCCAACAAAAGCGTGCATGGGTTTTTTAAAAAAAGCATTTTTTTTTTGAAAAAGCGGTTTTCTTTCCCCCCGCTTGGGGGTACTTATAAATGCCCCCGCCTCGCCGTAGGTGCCGCACCGGGGTCCCATCCCACCAAGCGCAACAAAGGCGTGCATGGGCTGTTTTTCGGTCCGCCACGAACGTTGAAGTAAGGTTTTTTTTTAGGTGATTACCCGCCTCGTCGTAAGGGCCGCACTGGGGTCCCATCCCACCACGCACAACAAAGGCGTGCATGGGCAGTTTTCCGATCCACCGCTAACTTCGAGAGCGAGAATCTGAGTTTAGGGAGTTTCGTACCTTCGCAGGATTGATGACGATGGTGACGAGAAAGGACACATACAAAATTATTATTATAATCGACAATAATAATTTATCTTTATCATAACTAATAAAAATAATTTATTATTAGTATAAATGATAATTAACTGTTATTATTATTATAACTAATAATAATAATAATTTACTATTATTATAACTCATAATAATTATTATTATTTTGCCTAGCATATCGAACGCTGCGAATGATTTATAATTGCCTTGACTTTGATGCATGATTATATAATTGGTTGAGCTAGAATTTAATTCTCTTTTCAATTTTGTGTAACTCCATCCATGCATCACATCAGTTTCTGTGCCAGCAGGTTGTGGCCGAGTGACCTGATTTATTGCATATTTGGCAAATAACTCTAGCAATGGGAGAAGCTGGGTTGCAGGTTTCATTTTGATGTTGCTGGGGATTATTATGTGACCACCGTAATACCACGATGGACGACCTCTGGCTGCTGCTAATGCAGTATTGGATGAGCCTGGTTGGGAGATCTTGAGATTTTCAGGAATGAGGTTAATTTCCTCAATACAAAGAAGGGAGTAAAAGTCATCTAAGCTAGTAGGTGTTAGCTTAGTTATTATGGTTGTTTTGAAGGCTTGATATATAGGGGGCAAACCATTTAAAATGTAGAGGATTATGTCCTCAGTATCAAGGTGAGATCTAGCTATGGTGATATTGTCTACCCGGGATTTGATGGTTGAGAGGTATTGAGTCATGGAGGAGTCTCTCATGGTGACATTATGGAGCTCATTTTTGAGTTAAATCACGCGTGACTTGTTCGTTGGTTGCAACCTCTTCTCAAGAGTGTCCCAGATCTCATGGCAAGCTTTGAAGATTAAGAATATATGGTAGAATGGTGGGGGAAATGGTGGAGTATAGGGCAACAAATAGGTTTTGATCTTAGAGCTACTAGGTTGTGTATGCCGGATTGGGTACAGCCGTTCCAGTAGCTGTCATGAGAAGTTTGGGCAGGTAGGGAAGATCGCTTGTGAGTTATCCAGCAAAATGGTTTGCATAGAAGAGTTTCAGTATTTGAAGCCTCCATATAGGGTAGTTTTCACTTGTGAGCTGTATATGAGCAATGGATTTGATGTTTTCCATGAGGAACTTGAGAGGAGGGGATTGGAGTTTTGATCATTGGATCAGAATCAACTGTGGGAATGTTAGCTGTGCTGGAAGTGCTTGAGGTTGCCATGAGGTTGGAGAAGAAGAGCTTGTTAGGCTTCTTGCATCTCTGATACCATGAAAAGAAACAAAGAAAGCAGAGGAAATTGAGAAGATATTGATAAAAGAATTAAGATGTATTAAAATTGTAGTCTATAATACATAGCTACAGTAGAGTTATTTGTGTATATATAACATGAGTAAAGCTAAATCCTAATGATCTGACGGCAGAGATGATTCCACTAGTGATGAATGGTTGGATGGCTATAATGTCCTCAGTCACCACATAAACTAGCACCATGCTCCACACCCTACATATTTCTTGGCTACTCTAATGTCCATAAAGGCTATCGTTGCTACAACTTACAAACTCATAAAATTCACATATCTCGACATGTTACCTTCCATGAATCTATCTTACCATTCCCTCATCCAATTCCCCACACCATCCAAACCACGTTTGCAAACTCCAAAAAGCCATCTATGGCCTCAAACAAGCTCCCTGTCAATGGTTCTCTACCTTCTCCAACTTTCTTATCTCAAGAAATTTCCATTTCAGCAATTTTGATCCGTCCCTCATCATCTACTCATCCTCCGATACTCAAATCTATCTACTTCTCTATGTTGACAACATCTTGGTCACCAGCAATAACACCCAACATCTCTCCAAACTGCTGCTTCACCTTCAACAACATTTCCTCCTCAAAGATCTTGGCACTATCTCACTCTTTCTTAGCATACAAGTACACCGCCAACCCACTTCATATCTTCTCCACCAATCTCAATATGCATCTGATCACCTTCACAAATCTAGACTTTCAAACTGCAAACCAGCGACAACTCCACTTTCTCCAAAAACATTAAGCAAAATCGGCTGTGACCAACCATATGCCAATCCAGTCTTCTACCGCCAACTAGCTGGCTCATTACTGTATCTCACAGTCACCAGGCCTGACATAGCATTTGCTGTCAACCTTCTATGCCAACACAATCATAATCCCCAACAAAATCATTTTCAACAGATGAAAAGACACCTTTGCTACATCAAAGGAACTCTTCATATCGGTCTACCAATCAGCAAAGGCAAGCTCACATTACAATCATATTCAAACTCGAACTAGGCATCCAATCCAAATGATAGGAAGTCGACTACAAGTTTATGCTGCTTCCTAGGGAACACTCTGACCTCTTGGAGTGTTAAAAAGCAACCAACTATGGCCATATCATCTACAGAAGCCGAGTACAGAGCGCTAGCAACTACAGCTTCGGACATCGTTTGGCTTCGACGACTTCTTCAAGACTTTCAGATCATCCTATCATGTTCGACTCCTATTTACTATGACAACATTTCAACAATCTCTCCTGCCAACAACCCAGTATTCCATGCTCGCACCAAACATATAGAGATTGACTATCACTACATCCAGGACAGGAACCATTTCAAGGAAGTAGTTGTTCCACATTGATACGAAGGATCAAACTGCTGATATCCTCACCAAAGCTCTACTGCTGATTCAATTTACTCACCTACGAAACAAATTGACTCTCCAATTCTTGGATACTCAATCTGAGGGGAGCTGATAAGCAGAAGACTGATACACAGGCCGTATCACACCGCGCTAATTAGCTGTTTCCACCAACACAGCACAGCTACCACTACGGTATGACAATTGAGAGTCTTCTGCACTCATCCATTGTCATCAAATCATTAGGATTTCGTTTTACTCATGTTATATTTATACACAGATACCTTAGTGATCAACCTCTATAAAGCAAATTGGGCCCAAAGAATGTTACATAATTGTTTAGTTTATATTGACAATTGAAACAAGCTTCAAGACCTCTAGTAATTGAGTATTTGACACTTAACATTTTGTTCATCTTAGGCAATTGTAATAACTTTTTTACTCCTACGTGCATCTAATTTCAGATAATAAACTAGATAGGGAATAGTCTCTACAGATTCTCTTCCCTTCTGAAACTAATTAAAATCATTCAGTGGCATAAATAAATTTCTTAGTCTCATGACAAGTAGCAATTTCAATATTTTGTTCTATCACAAGGAATCATTTGTAAATGAGATAGAAAAGACATCCTCTATATATAGTTTAGTATTGGAGGTACAAGGACTCAACAGTGTTGCATTTTGCTCGATCATATTTACACTGTTTGATGTGTAGTCATTGAACCCTGTTGGCATTATGCTGCTTTGTAGCCATTGAAAAGTGATGACGATATATTCACTACTCTAATCATTAATAAATTAGAAGATATCACAGAATTTTTTTCTCATATGTCAGTCAAAGTTAGATTCACCCAATTAGCGAGATGCAAACAAAATGAAGACTATCTTTTATTTTGCTATTACAGTACGAAGTCAGTTATTCATCCCTACAGTGAGAAAGAAGAGAAGCAGCATCATGTTATGAATAAAGAATCACAAGTTTAGAGTAAGTTGATCTTTTTCCACACAAAATTGCTTAGCTGTGCTTGAAGACTATGACAAAAAAAGGTTTGTTTGACACTTTGACCTACAAGAATGGTTTGAAAAATCATTTGAGGCACACAACTTGAGGCACGCCTCGAGGCTTGAGCCTCATTTGTGCCAGTAAGGCTTACATTTTTTTTTAAATGAGGTGCACACCTCGAGGCTTAACGCCTCAAGGTGTTTCGAGGCAACGCCATGTTATAGTTAAGTTTTATAATTTTATTATATATTATTATTAATAATAAATATATACTTTATTCTACTATACAAAGAGAATGAACAAATTAGCTATAGATGAATGAACAAGATTGAATGGTTGTGTTATATTTAATAAAAACTTAAAAGAAAAACACTTCAAATTATAGAGACGAATAACTGATGATGAAATAAATCATTTAGTTTTTAACAATATATTTTCTAATAATGAATAGATAATAACTAAAAATAGTAAAATATTTAAAATTGAAAATGAAAGCATGCATTTGATGATGAGAAGAATGAAAATTTATATTACATTGAATCTAATGCTAATTAATTTGGGGAGTTAATATAAATGTTATAATTGAAGAATAATTCGAAGATGATAAAGAGTTAGAATTCGAGGATGATATAATTACTACATATGAGGTCTATTATGAAGAATATGAAAGAAAGAATGAGACTACAATAGATTATAATATTTATGATGTATTTAAGTTTTAAATGAGTGTTTATTTTGAATCTCATTTCAAATTTTCATTTTATAATAACATTTAATAATGAGAATTGTAGTTTATATCTTTATAATGACAAATCAAATAAATATGTGATGTTTTATTTTACTTTTGCCATTTTTTAAGAATTATTTGTAAGTTCATGTATTTTGATTTTTCTGTTTTGACGCTTACGCATCAATCCGCCTCAAGCCTTATGTCATGCCTTGCTAAGGCAAAAGGCCTTGATTCCTGATTTCACCATTTTAAACATTGCCTAAAAGAATCATAACCTTTTTGTTTATTTTCTATATTCTGATCCAACAAAAAAATCCAGCTCATATAAACAATGTCGTGCAAACTAAAACTGCTATACAAAAAATTTCTAATGCCAAATATCTTTAATAACAATGTTTTTTGGGGACAAAAATGATAAATGACAAACAATTATTTGATAAGGCATTTTCTCTGATTATTCTATTCTACTAAGAAAACATGGCTCAAAACTGTTAGTCCTCCATTATCAACAACAGATCTACACCATTCAGAAATTGGTCACAAGCAAAGCTTTAGCCACCACTTCCCAGGGTTACAATATTCTAGATAACACTTTCAGTTTTCATTATCATCAATTGAGAAGAACAAACACATTGATTATTCCCAACAACAACAAAGAAGTTCCAAGTTCCAACTTAATCCAAGTAATCTCCCCTCCATCATTAGTTACTCTATCGAATGCCTTCTTTTATTGTTTCCACAATCTTATGGAATTCAACTTCATATATGTAATATTCTACTATTCATGCAACTGAATTTTTTTCAATGATTTTTTCTATTATTCCCATCATCACAAAAGAAGAGGCTATATGATCCAACGACTGCTTAATTTTAAAAAATTAAATCAAACGCTTCAAAAAGTCTGATATCAATCTTACTATGTCAAGTAGATGTTTGTTGGTCTTGTTAATGAAATGCGAGGATTAATAGTGAATCCTTTAAATCTCCATTAGCACAACTTTAATGCTTTAACCTTGTGAGTACTTGATCATATGAATTGACAGTGGAACTCAAACATGAAATTAAAGTTGGTTATAAGAATTGCCAAGTAATAAAAATTATTGAGATAATGTGTTTTAAGAGGCTCTGTGATGCAGAGCATTTTAAGCTTAAAGTATTCCTTAGGATATCTTATGTAGTTTGTTACAAGTTGTTTCATGTTTATAGAATCTTCTAGGTTTTTCTACTTCAGTATTTATTACATATAGTTTGATGTTAGGATGAGCATTGATGAATATTATATGAATTGAAGCCTTTGAGCTTGGTTTGTCCACTTGTTCTTGGAAATCCTTCAAGCATCTTCTTCCAACGATTGTCTCCTCACATCAGTTGGTATCAGAGCCTGGAGGTTGCAAAGAACGATGGACTGCATAAGGTGGGCTGTCGACGATGATTGAAGCTGAAAAAATTGGGCGGTTGACGAAGATCGACGCCGAATAAGATGGGTGATCGACAAAGATCGATGCCGAAAGAGATGGCAAGTCGACCACGATCGACGTCGAAGGAGATGGGAGGTCGACGACGATGGACGCCAAAGAAGATGGGAGATTGATGACTATCCTCCTCTCGAACTTCCACTCTGATGGCGCGATCCGCCGTCGGAATATCCTCCGCTACAACTTCCACTCCAATGGCGAGATCCGCCGCCTGATTATCCTCCTCTTGAACTTCCGCTCAAATGGCAGAATCCCCTACCCGACCATTTAGTCCAACCCGTGGCCGCAGTCCGCGACTCGCCTTCACTCCCGTCTTCCATGCAATCCCGCCTCCAAATTGCTTCCAAACCCGTGCACGAGACCTCGCCTGCACGCGACACTATCGATCCCCATCCGCTCCCACTCAGATCCCGCAATTTCCTACCCGGCGAAACAACCACCGCTGCCACTCCACCATTGCCTCTCACTCCAAATCCAGCCAGTCTAGCGTCGTCCCTTTGCTTCCCCAACAAGCCAACACAACTTTCCACCACTGGTATCAACTTCGCCAAGGGAGAGCAATTCGCTGATTCCGCAATCGACACTCTGCATGACCACTGCCCGCCCCCTCTCAACTCCCACGATCCCATGCTCGACTCCACACTTGAAGCCACGGAGAACCCCTTTTATAAAATCGAAGACGAGAAAAATCCTGCTTCTCCGAATCATCCTCTAGCCCAAGTCCCTCTACTGCCTTTTGCTCCTATCGATGCAAGCACCAGTTCTTCCAAAGAAGTTCAGAGCTTGTTTCCCTCACAACTCCGACCAAGGCATTATGCAACTCACTTCTATATTGCACAGAACATACATTACCATCAGCATATGACAAGATTACATCCATGTTGGCCTTCAGCAATCGATGTCACACCTTTCTATGCCTCAAAGCAATATAATATAAGTATTGCTTCACTCTCAGATTCATCTATTCTCAGTAATCTGATGCAGCAGGGGAGCCCTCCTAGTAAGAGTCAGTGATTTGTGCAAGAGAAGGTCCAATATTTTTGGCAAATTCTGGTTATCCACTAAGGAAAAGAATAATGCAGCCAATCCATCCACCAATTCTTCACAGAAGAAGACCACTGATGGTAGGAACGGATACGGTGTGAAGCTGGCGAATACCAACATTGGAATTGATGACATTTCCATTACAAGTGTGCAAATGCTTGATGTGAAGTCCACTGACAAAGCTAATCCAACGCCATGCTCACAAGCTGCTCGACCTAATGTCACTGATGACTTCGGGCAGTTGGGTGTTGATGATTTTCTTCTTGAGATTGATTTAATATTTCAGGACAACAACAAGACAGCATCAAAGACGTTGGATGGTCATCCTCTCGGGAAGGAAACATCTCCTACACCTCCTTATTATAATGCTATTATCAAAGGTGTCTCTACTATGATGATCTCTTACTCAAATTGGAATGGAGTAAAAATGCATGCAAATCATTTCTTGCTGATTGATTTCCTAAAAAATAAGCTCCATTTCAAGGGTTTTATAATTTCGGATTATGAAGGTGTTGATAGGATTATAATGCCTCCCGGTATCAATTATACATTTTCTCTCCATACTGGAATCCTAACAGGCATTGATATGATAATGATTCCCTATAACTATCCTTGGTACTTTGAGAGCTTCCTTGAACTAGTACATAAAAATGTAATTCCCACGAATAGAATCAATGATGCCTTTAGGAGGATTCTTAGGGTCAAGTTCACAATGGGTCTCTTCGAGAACCCCTTTGGAGATTATAACTTAACCAATGAAGTTGGGAAGCAAGAGCACAGGGATCTAGCAAGAGAAGCTGTGAGGAAATCACTGGTTCCACTAAAAAATGGAAAAGCTTATGACGAATCAATTCAACCACTCCCTAAGAAGGCAAAAAAAAATACTTGTTGCCAATGTTTAAAATTGCGTATTCGGGTATTGAGGCATTTTTCGTTCATGAGGCGATGCGTAAGCCTTAAGGCGTTTTGAGGCGTAAGCCTCAAAATCAAAAAATTGCGTAAACATAAAATAATAAATTTTGTATATACTAATGAGTAAATAATATATAAAACATAAAATGCTACTTACCACATCTTTAAGAATAAATAAGGTATCACATAAAAACTCACTAGTCAGTAGTCATCAGCACTGTCATCACTCATCAGTCATCAGTCATCACTCATCACTAAGGGGGCCTTCATTTGAATCATCATTATGATGAACTGCTCTCTCCTCTTCCCCCTCTCCTATAGAGTCCAATATCTCCCAATTAGCTTCTTCTTCCTTATTATCAGTTATCTTCCTCTTCCCTAAATATTTTTGAACAATATCATAATGAATAATAATGTAATACATTAATAAAAATTTAAGAAAAGAAAACTATATTATTTATATACCTTTTTTGATTTGTTCTTGAATTGTGGTGGATGTGGATGCTTTAAGATCATCAAAGAAATCAACATTTAAATCTTCATCTTGTAATTCAGACGGCATCACTTCAACTTCATCATTTACAAACCACTCATCATCAGACGCCACATCATCGCAAAGCAAAGGATCTTCATCATCTATTAATCCTTTTTTCTTCAAATTTCTATCTCTGAGTCTGCTATTGTACATAATGTACACCAGTGAATTCATCCTCAATGTCGACAAGCGATTTCTCCTCTTTGTATGTATTTGGTTGTAGATACTGCAATTTCTTTCACAGCCAGATGAAGAGCACGTCAAGCCCAAAACTTTCACAGCAAAACGCTGTAATTCTGGAGTCCCATCACCAAATTGAATCCACCACTCAACTGGAGAACGTTTGGCAATTATATCTTTTGCTTGTTGTAATCCAAAAAAATCTTCTTTGTTCCTAAAAAGTACCAATTGCAAGTCAGCATCTGATCTTTCAGTTGCATTACTTATTAGATGATTCATGCAATGATATAATCCAAACTTTATTTCAGGGTTTGTAGACTTGTTCTCTGCATATTGATACTGGGGGTTTAGGTAGTAGCCAGCGGCATACAAGTGTCGGTGAAGCTATAGTTCTTACCTATCATCAATAATATTCAAAATTTCCCTAAAGCTTCTCTCACTGCCTCCTAAGTTGGAGGCAATCATCTCTTTGGCTTCATCCATGGCATTGTAGATAAAACCCATTGCAGGCTTCTTCTCAGCATCCACCATCCTTAAAACATGAACTAAATGTCTAGTGGTTGTAATGACATGTAAGACACTTTGCCAAAATCTATCATTTAAAACAACCTTTCTAATCTCTTTTCCCTCATCCTTCTTCGCCCAAGCACAACTCAACCACTATGTAGATGTGAACATAGCTTCTAAAGGTTGCCTAGCATCCAACATGCTCTCTAAGGTCAAGTAAGCGGTGGCAAATCTTGTTGTGGCTGGCCTTAGAATTTCTTTCTTCGAAAACTTTCTCATAAGAGCTAGAACCCAAGAGTGATTGTAAATAAATTTGGTTATTTTTTTTACATTAGTGAGTGCATTTTTATGTTGAGGTAGCTCCCCAAGCTTCTCAAGAATCAGATCTATGCAATGTGCAGCACATGGAGTCCAGTACAAATGTTTCCTCTATTATTCTGTACGAATCATTTGTGGATTTTTTTTTTGGGGGAAAAATTTAGGCTTAACCCTTATAATTGAGTAAAAAAGAGAATACAAATAAAATCAAAACCTGCCCTACAAAAAAAAAGGCCTAGCTCAACTCAGCTCAAAAAATCTGCTCAAGAACAAGGAGCAACAAAATACAAACTAAACAGACTTTAGCCAGAAAAAACAGAGCTCCTAAAGCCAATAAAGCTTAGACTCACGAGATAGAGCTAACAGATCAAAGGAAAACTCAAGCCCCTGGTTGCCCCAAGACCGTCCAAGGGGAGCCTGCTATAGGAGCCACATCATCATCCAAGGCTTGGTAAAAGAACCAACATGCATAATCGAAAGTAGTACAGTCCCAAAAAATATATATGAATGAGCCAGCCCATCTTAAAGCAGATCCAAATATTTAAACGAGTGCTTCCACTTGATAACCTTCTCATATACCAATCTTTTGATATTAAGCAAGATAGTGGAGCTGCTTTGTATTTTGTTCTCAAATCTCCTATTGTTTCTCTCTTTCCATATATGGTATATAGAATAGCAACTGATCAACAGGTATAAGTTTTTAATCGGTTGAAGCACGTTCAAATCACTATCAATCCATTCAAAAAGATGCAAAATCGAGGGCCTTAGAAGAAGACCCCTAGTGGCAGGCATGAGAGCATATAGAATAGAAAATGAATAGGTGCATTCAAAAATAGGTGAGAAACACTTTTAGTTTTTGTATGACACAAACTGAAAATAGTCGGAATATGAATATTTCTTTTTTGCAATGCATCTGCAATCTTCAAGCCCCCCACAATGGCAAGCCACGCATAAACAGAATGTCTCAAAACATACTCTTGGTGCCAAACCATCCTATATCAAGAGCAGTTTGGCAAATTCTTCTAAAACTCATTTATAAAATCTCCAAATTTGATATTGTTCAAATTATTCCAAACTAAGCAAGGGATTGATCTATCTAAAATTTGGATACTACAAAATACTTCCCATAAAGGCACAAGGAAGAGATCCAGTAAGTTCCAATATTATCCCAAAATGAATTTACTCAATAGAGAATCAGAGAAAGATGCAACCAGAGAATTTTGCCCATCCATGAATTCCTCTAATGTGGAATTATGACAACAGTGATCCCATCTCAAAGAAATGTGAGCATTTTGAGTGATTCTAAATTGAAGGCAATATTTAGCTGCAACAGTAGTATTGCATACTGATTTCCAAAACTTTGAAGCATATGACAGGGGGGGGGAGGGACGCCATGGAGATATATACCTGCTGG